GGCGGCGGCGGCGACAGCGGCAGCGGCGGTGACGGCAGTGGCGGCGGCGGCGGCGGCGGTGATGACGCTCGTGACGGTGGTGGTGGCGATGGCGATGCTGATGGCGAACACTGTCATGAACAACAGCAGCAACAACGAACAGCAGAAAAGTCACACACGAGCGACGAAGGTAGGCCGAAATTTAGCGGGCATTCGCGCGAATCCCCGAAGCGGCCGGCCGAAGGCCCAAGGTCCCGCGAAGGCGATCGCTGCCGATCCAGGAAGAACCCGGTGTGCAGACGTGCACGATGCTATCTCGACAGGAAAAGACACTTGTGACGTCACCGCATCCTCCACGAGTAAGGTCGCGGGAGCGAAGTGTATCGCCTTGATCGCCGAGCTGTTCTCTTCGCCGGCCTGCGAGCTCGACTTTCTACGGCTCGGTTTTTCCCCGCCGAGTTTTCCCACCTTCCCCTCGCTCCGATGCTGGTCGTTATCTTCCTTTTCTTCGATTTAGGAAGCCTTCTCCACCGAAAACTGCCGCCGATGTGTCCGACTCGGTCTTACTTCCGCGCAGATCCAACGGGGTTAACGTGGAAACGGCAAGATGGAATTCAGCTTGGAAAAGTCGCGCACGCTACTTGATTTTCCAGCGTCTGGAAACTCCGGCTGACTTCTGGACAAGGTGCTCGTAGTTGAAGTTATTCTGAGACTCGGCTGACAGAGACTCTTCGATCGTTTCGATCTCGACTAATCGACGTTTCTGAAGTTCACTTCGTCTCTCTCTCTCTCTCTCTCTTGTCTTTCCCTTTCCCTCTCTCTCTCTCTCTCTCTCTCTCTCTCTGTCTCTCGTTTTCTTCCCGCCTGTCTTTTTCTCCTTTCACTCCTGCTAACTCCGCTGAATTGTTCGCCGGTGTGCTGAATTCTCTTCACTTCCTCAACTCGTTGGACCTCTTCAGGTCTTACGCCTGTCCGTTCTGCTTGACCGACGAAACGTTCTGCTATCGGCGCTCCTCATTAGACTAATAAGATCAGCGGCGACTACGACGATCACGGCGGCGTCTCGTTACGGGCTTGCAGCGCGTTTTCCGCGGTCCGCGACCTTGACGAGTCCCACCCGACGGTGCTGGTGGTAGCAAGCGAGCAGCATTACGTAAAGCCGAAGTCGCGGCGTTCCCCAATTCGTCGACCCGGCGTCGCGACGCCCCGCGGCTCTCGCGCGAACACCTTCTCGAGTGTCATTCTTGTCTACCAGCGGTAGACGCAGCGATATCGACAACCGCCGAGCCCGGAAATTGGAAAAGCAGCAATTTCTGCGACAAACAGCTACGTGGGTGCAGGTGGGCTGCAGGAGGGGGGAGAGAGGGGAGAAAGTCGCAGGGACTTGGCGGAGATGTGTTTCTTTCCGTTCGTCTCGTCCGCGAACGTTCCTGCCCTCTCGAAATCGGGATTTGTTGACGATTCTGCCGGAACTTCCTCGGGTCTTCGTTAAGAGAGCGCGCCTCCTCGAGTACAATTACTTTCCACCTCGGATCTCTGCGTCCGGGATATCTCCTCGCGTTTGCTTCTCGATGTCCACCTTCTTCACAAGTTTCCTCTCTTCCCGTTTCACTCCGGGAAACTTTCTTCGGAGCCGAGAAGATTTATCCCAGAATCTCCTCGACGAGATCTCTTCTCCTCAGCGCCTCCTCGATCATCGCTTCTTCTCGGAAGCGAGTCGAGAGAAACTTTGCCTTTATCGATATGTTGATACGGCAATATTCGCTTCTCCCGGCGAGCCTCCACATTACAAATCAGTCATGTTCATTCGCGCCGTCTGAATCATTACGAATAATCGCCGAAGCAATTGCTATTCCTCACACACCGATCCCCGTAGATGGCAAATCGTTCCGCTAATAGATCATCAATTTCCTACGATTGTCCGACGTGTGGAAGAAACCGGAGTGCCCGTTCATCATTAATAATTGTTTTCCCGTAACATACACTTTGGCTCGTTAAGAAAACGAAAGAGCGAAACAAAGAGGGAAGAAGAAAGTAATGAAAGAAGGAAAAAAGAAAGAGAGAGAGAGAGAGAGAGAGAGAGAGAGAGAGAGAGAGAGAGATGCGAATCAGACACGGGACGTTCGTTTTCTCTCAATTTCTTTTAAGGGTGGAAAGCGTGGGGACGAAAATCCACGAGGAAAAGAATGTCGCGTTGTCCCTCGCGCTTCGGAGGCCCTAAACACCGCGACTTACGAGATATTCGAGTTTCACGAGAGACGAGATCGTTCGGGGAGAGGCGATGTGTTTTCCTAGATCGTCGACGATCTAGGCGCGATAAGTGTGTTTATAAGATTGAGATTGCGTCCCCGACCACGTGGTGGCTGGAAACGTGGAATTACAGGTATGACTGGTCCTGAAGTAGCACGGCAACAGGCGCACCACGTGACCCGTCGTCTCGCGGAAAAGACAATGCGCATCTTCGCGCAATCTGCGATCGATCGATCTCGCGGTCTCTCTCTCTCTCTCTCTGTCTCTCTCTCTCTCTGTCTCTCTCTCTCTCTCTCTCTCTCTCTCTCTTTCCGCCTCTCTCCGCCTCTCGCTCCAAAGTTCTCCCGCAACTGCGACTGTACGTGCGTCCGCGCGGATTTTTATTTATCGCGTTCGACGATCACATTCGCGCGATCTTTATGTAATGAAAGTGTTTTATTATTATCACGACTTTTTTATCGTCACCGATGCGACAATTATCCGCGAGGTTACCGGAAATTAACGATCGCGCCTGACGATCGAGTCTCCGCTCGATCTCGAAACACCTCCGAGGTCAATCTGAACGATCAACGTTTGCCAAACCTCTCTTGATGAAGCGTTCCCTCAAAATCGCGGTTTCTCTCTCTACTACATCGTAGAGTGCCCCAGTGCCCTCCACACGTCGGACCCTTATTTACCGGGACGCTGCCGCAATCCCCTCGCGATCAATTCGGCACGGGTTTGCGGTTTTCACGCATCGACGAGACCGCGAGCGGCGACAAGCAAGACAACGCGGAAACAACAACAACAACAACAACAACAACAACAACACGGCCGGGACGACAACCTCGGCGACACGCGGCGACCGCACACAGATCGCCGTAGGAATGGACGACGGTTCGGCACGAGCAACAGGACTCGCACTGCACGCGACGAGAATCCCCGGGAGAACCGCGACAACGTATATACGTCAGACTGGCGGAAAGCCAAGTCGTTCGCAGCGGTAACGACAGGTGTTGTCGGAGAACAGCTCCGTGGGGTGGGGTGGGCGAGCAACGAGAGCAGGTGGGAGGGAGGAATCGGGCGAGTAGGTGGGGTGCGGAACCTTCGCCGAGAGGAGTCGACCTCAGCTGTTGCTGCTGCACGCAGCATCTATATGTCACGGATCCTTGGTAGTGCGACTCGGATCACTCGACCGAGAGTATCGGCGTCGGTCTCTCTATCCCGATCATAAAAAATAAAGATAAAATCGTCGCGTGGAATAACAATGGCCACCAACTGCGGCTGCGACCGTATACGGGGTGCGCCGGAGAATCTCAGCGGGGTTCTTCTCGGATTCGCTTCGGTTGACCCGAGTCTCAAGTGCGTTTCACTCGCATCCTGACGCTATTCTCGAGCAGCGCACGTATTCGTACAATGGAGAAATCTAGGAGAATCTTCGTGGACTTCTCAGCTGGACCCGCCAAATGAGGCGGTGATGATGAGGGAACGACCGGCGCGGCGGCTGGTCGAAGGAGTCAATAAACACGGCTGCTTTTAGAATTGGTTATTGAAAGAGTGACAGCTTTCGAGACGCTTGCGCGCCCGGTTTCAAAGCGTAATCTTGAAATTTAAATCGCTACTTATCGAGATGGAAGAGATAGCAAAAACATTGTGACACCTCTTTAATGAAACTTATGTAATGAGGAGAGGAAACTTTTACGTGCGTGACGGCAATAAAATAAAAAAAAAAAAAAAAGAATTGTTGCTCCATTGGAGGACGAAATAGGATTGTTGTTGTTAAGTTGATAATAAGATTGTAACAGATTAGTATTCTAATTAATTAAAATGTACATCAAGTAGAGTGTAATTATAATGAGTAAAGTGTCTAATGTAAGTAATTCGTCGTCGATTAAGCGGCAAGGTGAAATTGCAGGACAAGTTTGCTAGAAAGAAAAACCGGTCATTAGTTAAACGGGAACATCTGTATATATGCAACAATAGACAATCAGCTGCAATACGAAATACATTTCTCCTTGAACATTTCACCTCATTGAATTAAAGCCGGCTTTTCCGAGAACACGCCGGAGGAGTTTCTTAATCGACCGGCGAGAGATTCAATCGAAATATGCAACATAATAGTAATTCGAATGCATTACGGTATTCAGGAAGCATAATTGCCGCACAGCTAATAATAACAAACGCATTGAAACAAGTATTACAAGGTAAGATACTTAGGAAATGAAAAACCAGAGATACATTCGTAATGAGTTGCGCAATCGCGATGTGTGTCGCTTGTGAAAAATGAACAAAAAAAGAAGTGGCTATGTTTAGATGTCATCGATACTGTTACGCGACGTAGAACGACAGGATTGCTAAATTAAAATTCCGCATTGCCGGGGAGATCCATAGACTCGTGGAATCTGTAAAAAGCTAGAAATAAAATTTTTTAACTTTGAATATTTCTACACAAACGTTTAGTGTGCCATCTGCGCGTTTAATTCTATGAGAAAATAATCACAACTCCAGAGGATAACTCCAGAGGACAACTGGGAGGCCGGAGATTGAAAGGACTAGTATTAGTACACGAACATATTTGACTATAACTTTTAATTTTTCCATAGCCTCTCTCTCTCTCTCTCTCTCTCTCTCTCTCGATCACATTGAAGATTTAAAAAAATTTTTTAAAACACAACAAAAAAAATTTTTTATTCCACGCATCTCGATAAGCCAGTAGCGATCGGCAGGTTCACACGCCATGTTTATCCTAATTATTTTTGGACGATTAGATAATAAATAAGACACCTTCTCACTTGGCTACAGGATAACATTATATATTTGGGAGACTCGACCTTCATCGGTCAAATTTCAAAAAAACATGTACAGATTTTTACAAAAGTCTCGCAACGACGCAACAGTCATCTCCACGCATTCCAGCGAAGTGATATAAATATGTTGTGGCGATTTGAGCGCTACGATGATTGATCGGATTAGATAACATCCTGAGGAATACGGAAACGGGCGAGTAACTCGGCCATTTTGAAAAAAGAAGGAAAATCTCAGGAAGAAAGAAAGAAAAACAGGCTAATAAATTACATAAAGGCGCTCCGAGGAATAAAATACCACTTTGCACATAAACCTATTTTACAATATTACCGCTATATTTACATTTAATTGTCCTTCTTCATTCGATTCGATGTCATCCTGTAGATGATGGAATCCCGTCCTGGATCCATATCACCGATAGCAACTGAAAATATCGAAATTTTACCGTCCTATTCGACTTTTTTCTCGACGTAGCGATCACGAATACGATTAAGGGAAAAAAACGACTGCCTAATTTTGGATTGATCATTTTGCATAAACAAGCCACGCGTGTCCGATATCTAATTTGAAATATTTAAATTCAATATTTCCTGCAAAGTTGCTACGGAGAAATGTTTTTCAAGTTTTTCAAGACATTGAGAATTTGTGACTTTGCATGGAAAGAAAAGATCTCGGTTCGTCTAACAGAATAGAAATCAGACGAAAATTCGTAACTTGGAAAAAATATCTTTGCTATCGCGATCGAAAATATTTGTCTGAATGAATTTGCGTTTGATCCTCAGATAATAGAAAAGAATATTGATAAAAACGCAGGTGGTGCATAGTGCAAGTGGTATTTTTCATACCGATTTCAAAATTGATTCAAAGTATTAGAAAGATTTCGTTATCTGTTGAAAATATTCCGATATGCTCGTTGAGAACAAGATAACGCGTGAAGTTTTATCATCGATTCGGAAGATAATCCTCTCGAAGAATTTATTATTGTCATCAAAGCTTTCTTTAAAGAGATTATCCGCTGAAAAGCAAATGAAACTTCACGAAACAGTCTTCCCCCCTCTTGAAAGATACATACTGCAAATGGTTAAGAGAGAGAAGAAGAAAATAACGCCGAACCACAGTATTATGTTGAAAATGACGGGATAGTCCTCCGAGTAAACTTTTGCGCGGCCGGAAAATTCAGGCTGAAACAGAAGAGTCGATGTAATAGACAGCCGGACGTGATCCTTGAATCCTACGAGTTTTAATCCTGCGAATGTTTCTGTGGTACTCGCTAAATGTAACTAATAGCACTCTACGCTTCTTAACACTTCGCGAATGGACAGCATGCGCAGATAAATTGATTTCTCTGTCCTCTACGAAACTACTTTGTTTTGTATGGAGAAAAGAGAGAAAGAGAGAAAGAGAGAGAGAGAGAGAGAGAGAGAGAGAGAGAGAGAGAGAGAGAGAGAGAGAGAGAGAGAGGGAGAGAAAGAGAGAGAGAGAGAGAGAGAAAGAGAGAGAAATGAATTTACATTTTATATTTCTTATTAATTAGTCATAAATTGATCAATTGTCATGTTTTATCTTGTAGAAGAAGGAAAAAGTGATATGAAAACTTCTGGAAAACAACAAGTAGCGATAAGTAGTAAATTTTTAATTTGCAAAATCTGTAAGAATTAATTACAGCTTTCCGATATTATTTTCCAATTTTTCAATAGCAATCTGTAACGTCCCCAATATTTTTTTTGTATGACTTTGCAAAACACAACTTTCTCCGCGAAGTGTTAATACGTGAGAATATCAAAGCTCTCAATACGAAACGGTTTCAAGGATTCACAACTCGTCAACAAGATCTGGCTTCGATACTCGCTAAACAATTAACCGGCCAATTAACTCTCCCCTAACAAAAATTCCCCATTGAAGAAATAATCGCTTGTAGATTTATTATCGATAAAACATATGCATGCAATTAAACATGGCAAGACCAACATGCAAAATCATGATTTTGCACCTGAGAAGCGAAAGGATATAAATTGTCAAGCGACTTGCTTCTTGCTTTAACATATCCATTTAGAACGTTAATTGGATACCTGCGGAAAAAAATATTTGTTCAGAGTTGGCTTTTAATTTGGGCTTCTCAGGCGCAAGTAATTGTCTAAACAGATACAAATAATTGTCTAAAAACCGCGATCCAATGGTACAAATAATAATAATTAAAACTATAATTAAGCGTCATTCATACGAGCAATAATTTGTTAGTGCGGATGTTCGATCGACGCACGGCAATTTCAATGCAAAAGAAAATCACACGAACTGAAAGAAAAAGACGCTATTGCAAAATTGAAGCTGAACGGGAATTGAATGGAGTGTTGGAAAATCCTCCGTTATAATGTTGTTCTGGCTACTGAAAAGTACGCTTCGTAAAACATTAAATTAATCATTCATCCTGCTAGAAACTCAGGCGCTCTAATACTTCGGCAAGGTCTGGCAGAAAACGAAAACAATGGAAGAGTCCAGGCGAAGGAGACTTGACGAAATATTTATTGCTCGAGACGTAATCTTGTTATCTTTTTTCTCTCTTCTTTTGTTTAAATTTGTTCGTACACTTCGGTCCACACACCTAATTATACGCATATGTACATCTCGAGCCACGCTTATTTATCTTCATTACGACACATTCTGTAAACTGTGAATTCAACGCGAGTTTATTTTTCTTTTTCTTCTTTTTATTTAGCGATAAAATCGATTCGCTCTTATCTCTCGACACGCCACGTTAATTTAAGGATTACGAGGAAACGAAAGAAACATTAACATCGCGCGTCATTATACATGTACACATGGTGTCAAGATATAAAAATGAAAGAGTAGAAACATACGACACAAGCCATGTCGGGTATCGAGTTGTCAAGTTTTTTTCCCCTGGATCCTTCGACTGCGATGCATGTTAATATGTTTGCGATACCTGTCCTATTGTCTGTGTTTTAGTATTTATCATGTATCCCTGATTAACCGAATCGGACTTTTCCGTCGTCCAGCTATCATCCTGAACGCCCGGACGTTCAGTAGTGCTGTTGACAGTGTTGGGCTCGTTAGTACTACTCATACTATTCTTTATCTTCTCGTCGTCCTCTACATTACTTTGCCGGTCTTGCTTGTCGTCTCGCTACAACCAAGTGTTGTTCAGTAATCTCAGTAAAATGGTTAAAGCGCACCAAGCCTTCTCGAGGCTCCTCGAGGATACTAGAACTTTCAAGGACTTAACTTTGCGAGTAGATTAGATTTACTCGGTACACAGTCTTAAATTTTATCGTGTGCAAGAACATGGGAATTTCAATGATCCAGCTTCACAAGTGTTTCATGTTACTAACACAGTGAGTTTCAAGTTTACTCGGCTGACAAAGATACCAAAGATGTCCAATTTGGCGGATTGATAAATCTGTATAAGCTCCGAAATCCAGGCTTCAAGAATGTTGAAGCAACAAGAGTCACATCTGGGCGACCATCTAAATCCACCGATATAAAACTACAGGATATTGGCACGTCAAGGATCTAGCTTGGCGCGTATCCAAATATCAGCAGTTTGCTCAATTTCGCGAATCGTTGGACGGAAATTTTGGAAAAGAAAACGAAACAAGGACAAGATACAAATCGACCACTTTGGATGGTTAGTTTGTAAGTTCGTAGGTCGGAGTAATTTGAGTAATTCATCGTGTTCGAGAGTCATGCAGAAGCTACCTCTAAGTCGAAAAAGAACACTCTCAGTCAAGTAATAGACCATGCAATACGATTCGACACGGTACCTTGGTCAACAAATTATCGTTAAAGTCTGAACTAATTGGCGCTCCCTTGGCACCACCAGTGGATTTAACACTGTTAGTCTTATAAGCCTACAAAAGGTCCCGTAACAATTATAAATGGTACAAGATGAAGGAAGAGTCAGTTGTTAGCGAATTATCTCACGACGCGACTCTGTTATGCAACTCCGAATTATTGAATATTCATAAAGTACACGAGGTTGCGCTGAAAATTGTATCTAACGATTTTTCGAATTTTCTACCATTTTTGATCATGCAGCTCACAAATTTTTCTATCCAATCTATACAATATTGTCCGTCTATCATTTATAACATATTATATATATATATATATATATATATAAGATGACTGTTAAATATAAATCATGTGATATTGCGGAAAAGAGATTGATTGAACTATTAAATATAAATCATGTGATATTATAGAAAAGAGATAAATTGTTAATCTCCACGTACGAATATAACAGAAAATACTCATTGATTATTTATACTATCAGAAATTCTATTGCCATGATAATAAATTTTGGTTAACGTCTTTCAAGCGAAAAAGTATGATACTTACATTCTTGCTGAAATCATTCGTAAAATTCGAATGCAAATGCTAATTGCTATTTATGTACATTTAAGAGGGAATTAAAGCTAAAATACAATAGTGTCAGTTGAACAAAATATTGTGAACTTAATCTCAAAGATAGTACTTTGAAATTTTAAATACAATAAGCATGTAATGCTCTTTAATAATGTACAGAAATCTAATGTTTTTGGATCACCCTATATAGCAACATTCGATTTTTACACAATTTTAGAAATGCGTGTCTTTTATTATGTACAAAATTTTTGAAGTTTTACCTTTGAAATTAGGTTAGCAGCAATGTTTCAAACATGACACTATATTTTTGTTTATATTCGCTTTTAAGCATTATATTGTACATCATTGAAATCGTAAAACGATTAAAATATTAACAATTGCAGCAGTTAAATTAACCGATTGAAGATGAAATAATTTATTCTCCTATTTACGGGATAGTTCAACGATAAATGCTGCTTCTGGATACGTTTTAGCCAGTATTTCAAACATAACCAAATAGTCTCATATTTTAAACGTATCAAATATAACTTTAAGATAGTTTAAGATCGTACGAAGTTATAACACTCACCGGACCATCGGCGGCTCTAGATTGTCTATCGAGAAGCACGGAACGAGCGTTCCTCACTTTGCTGGCATCGTTTGTGAATGCTGCAATTACAACCTATAACAAGAAATGCAAACAAGACAAATATATTAGATTTAAGAAATATTATCTATCTCTTTCTCTCTCAAAGTGCAAAATATTAAATAAAGATTAGTAAATCAAAGATTAAAAAACAGCTGAACAATATAAACTGTAATATCGTAATATCTGCAATAAAACTAGCTAAATGCATACCTTGCCATCGTAGGCACTCACAAAGGCCTGATAAATTTGGTCTATGGCATCATCCAGTAATGTACATGCCTCTTTGGCTGCTTCAGAGTTATTTCCATGGAGGTCTAGGACTGGTTTAAGCCCTGATACCACTATCCAATACACGTCTGTCTCAGTGTTATGTTTCTTCGTGGAAGACGCATTGTCGGCGATCGCCTTGAGAAGCTGGATTTCCTCGACGAATTTGCGATCTTCCTCAATCTCTAAGTTGAGCGTTGTCAACTTTTCTATGTTGGCAGGTTTGAGCTCACCAAGAGCTGACTGACCTAACTAATGGAATAAGAGAATTTTCTTTAGAATATTTTTCAATTAATGGAAAAAATTAGAAGCTGAAGATGTAGATATATACAAGCAATGTCAAAAGCAACATGTTTATTTATACTCACTGCATCAACACCATCGCTCAAGTTGATCCTAACCAATGTATTGTCGTTGCTTCTTTCTTCCACTCTACTTCTGAGTGCCTGCCAAGTAGTTTCCTCTGCCTCATCAAAAATCATGGAGTAGTCGACTTTAGATCTATCTTTCACAAAAGGTAACTTTTCTATGCCTTCAATTGGCATTGCTACCAATGCTTTGGGCAACGAGAACGGATCGCATATAGTAAGGCTATGATCTGTATCTTTCTGTAAGATCACAGATATTCAACAGATTAATATTTTATCTAATAGAAATTTTTAAATGTATTATTCATCTGCTTTTGATAATACAAAAATCTAGAACATATTTCAAATGTTTTAAATATTTTCAGATTTTTTAAATACCTAAGAACATACAGAAATATAAGATTAAAGATGATATACCTGCTTTGCGGTAAAGCCAAGCCCTGCAGACAAGATCTCCTTAAGACTACTTTGCTCGATCTCTCCATTGCCAATAAATTCTACACTATCAGGAGAATGTAGAACAGAAAATTCACCATTGGCTTGGACTAAAAAATAAATATGAATTTAATGTATCTACGAGATATGAGATAGCCAAGTACAATTTGTCCCAAGTGTTACTTATGCATTATATAAAAAGTTCCTCTGATATGACAATGAATGATGGAAACAGAAGTCCAAAAATTTATTCCACAGTTAACAGTTTTGATTAAGTACCATAATGTGATTGTACGTTAACCAAATACAAATTGACGCAACCATCACGATTTACAGATTACATTTAACGTACATTCCAGAAGGACTTATTCTAATCAAAGATGAAGATGTTGGAAAAATTAAAAAATACTTGGATTTTTTTGAGAAATTTTGGCAAACGGATACCGTTGGTCCCGCGACCGAGAATTCGATTGCGAGAAACTCGGAAAACCGTGATTGTCGAGAAGATATTTTTCCGGAAAACAAAGAGATAATCACCTGCTGCGAAGCCAGCAAGAAACAGTGACAATAGCCGGAGCATCGTTATCCCAAAAAATAATTCGTACACAACACCAGACACTCCCTTGACTTCGATCAATATTCGGACATGATCATGTGATCACCTGTGGTCTGTGACTAGTTCAGCCGCTATTCGATATAAATCGAAAAGTTCGATCCTTCCTCTTTTGAAAGATCGATTGTCCCCTCGATCGATTTTTTTTTAAATTTAATCCCTCTCTTTCGTAGATTTTATTATTAAACTTTACTGAACATGAGACTCCTTGGCTGCGTTTCAATGGTTTACTCTGAGTAGCAAAATTACTCCGGCTCCGATATTCACCGTCGGTACTGACAATGATACGTGTACTTTCAATACTGGTAGTGAATATTAAGAACGCATTCTCAATTAAAACAGAGACCTCTCGTGGAGACACGCGAAATAAGTAAATATATTTTTCGTTTCTTATAATAATAAAATGTAGAAAAAATCACTTTATAATGATGATATATTCGTAATCAGAAGAATCGTTCGTGGAGACGTAGAGACAAAGCATTTTTTTTAATATTTGAAATAAAAAATGCATTATTTACTGGAATGAATGTAATACTTGGAGTGCATCACAGGAGCATATTATTATTCATTATAACTTTTGAAAAAACTAATTGCAAAATTCGGCTCAGTCATGACCTGGAAAATAATGTAAAGAAAGCGGCAGAAACTTTTACCGAGAAAAATATGTTGTCTGTAAGGAAAAATATAGGAAATTGCGAATATCATGGAAGTGTACCCCCAATTACACTAGTTTGACCTAATCTAATTGCTCTTGCATTACTTATTAAGCATTACTCATTAAGTATATTCTCCCCCGGGAAAAGATGTTATCATATGACGATTTTGAATTTTTCTTCATTAATAGATATTCGGCTTAACGGGTTTTGGCGATTAGACCCGTTATTTTTGTTTGTTAGTTCTGAAACTTCCGCTATGAGCCGCCACTGTTACCACTGTTTACCACTAACGAATCGAGGTCGTAGCACAAGTCAACGGCCAATCGAGCGGACAAATGTCCATTTTTAAGTAATACATTCAATGATGGATCGGCCATCTTTTTATCGTTAATTGTTCCTGCTCAATAGGAAGTCAAGACGGCCATTTTAGTTTCGAACGGTACGAGCTAACCGCGAACGAGCCGGGTACCTTTTCATTTTCCAGTTTTGCGATTCAACGGCAGACCAGAGGATCCTTTCGTCTTCTTCGAATAGTGCGACTCAATGGCATTTCGGAGGTATGTTTAGATTCAAACATTAAGTTTCAACGTCGAATCGGACGTATTTCTTCGGTAGCGCGGCACCAGGCTCATTCCCGAGCGTTACTAGCCTTCGCTATTATTCACAAGATCTTTCCAGCTTAAATTTTATTATCATAGAATAATTCTATCGTGGAACAAAAATCCGGTAGCCTTCGGACATTCCACTCGTATCTCCCGTAAAGCTCGCATCAGGCTACATTTTGAAGGTTAAAATTCGTCGAGTCGCGATGCAATTTCAATCGAAATTATAACGCTTTCAGTTCCAAGCATGTCGGATGGACGGAAGTCCAGATTCGAAGTTGCAAATTTGCTAAGTCACTCAACGGTCGTAAGTCACACTCAACGGTCGCTTATTATTTATTTATTATTATCGACAAATCTGCGAGTTGGCGGGATGCGAGTGGGCGGCCAATGACCGTGAGAGCAAGAGAGAGGATGAGAGAGAGTGAGAGAGAGAGAGAGAGAGAGAGAGAGAGAGAGAGGGGAGGGAGAAAGAGGGAGACATGCGACCTCCGAGCAGATGCAAGAGAGAGTACAAGGGAGAAAGAAGGAACAAGAGGGTGAAAGAGAGAGAGAGAGAGAGAGAGAGAGAGAGAGGGGGGAGAGAGAGAGAGATAGAGAGAGAGGGAGAAAGGAGAATAGTCGCGCGCATAAAGCGCGCCAGGTATCAGTACACGCTCGGCCGCCTGAGATGTAGGGTCGAGGTTTCGATCCGCGCAAAAATTCACCCGCGTCACGTCGGTCGTTCGGTCGGTCGGTCCTGCGTATTATCGACGGTATCACAACACTGGTGCGTCGTGCGTGGGTAGACGTGTTGTTGTTACCTCGATCAATCGGTGTGCGGTGTGCCCCGAGATGAGGTGAGCTGTTTCCCCGGAAGAAACGTCGGAGTAAAGTGATGACAAGCATGTCTTCACCGTGCATCACATCCTGTTTGCTGTTGTTGTTGCTGTCCCTCGTTCACTCCGCCTCAGGTGAGTTTATTTCGGTAAGCGTGATCGATTCGATAAACACCGCCGTCGTAACTCAGCGCGTGTGTGGCGTAGAATTAAATATTCTCCGAAAAAGAGGGAGTATACCTGACAAATACAGAGGCTGTCCCGCGCGATTGGCGGCCTTAACACTCACGATTGCCTCCCTCCGATGAATTTGGAGAGGATTTTTCCTCGGCTGGTGAGCGTATGCGTGCCGACACCGATAGTACTGAAGTCTTAAGTAGATGAAAAAGGAGGACTTCGCGTGAATTGAGTTTCAGGAAAGTAAATAGATCGCAGAGCCATATTTTGATAATGGGAGATAATTAAAAGATAATTTTCGCTTTATTGATATTTCAAGGGGCTCGATCACAAAGACATACAGGGTATTTGCTGCTTCAACGAACAAACGTCCACGAAGTGAGGCGATATTCCAAGCAAAATTTAGAAGAAAGAAAAATTGCATAAATTTATATCCCATTTCTTTTTCTTGGTTTCTCTTTCTAATTTCGAATATGTTTTTCTCACTGTTAACACTTTTCACAGTTTTCGACTTGTCTACGTTCGCAAATAATTTAATATCATTGGCACCTCGAAGCTGTCGCTGTATTTCGAGTGCCTCCATATACTTTTGAAGTTTGTCCGTTAAAAGCGAGAATACTTCTCTGTATAATGTTGAGAGTTGGAAAGTTGCGATAAATGATTGCCTGTCCCGTTATATTTTCGCTAAGGGAAAATCGACTCCAAATTACAAGCGCGAGTTGGGTAACTTGTATGCCCGGGTTTCCCCCTCAGAAAAACACAATACTGTTTTCCAAAAAATATTTTCCAAACGCGATATCTCGTCGGAGGCGTTGTAAATTCGAAAAGCGTTTAACGAGGAAATTTTAGCATCGCGGAAAAAATTGTTACAACGGCAGAGAAACAAAAATATACAGGACACATATGAACGTTTCGCAAAAGCTATGAATAGTAATAGAAGGGGAAGAGAACACGAAACACACATACACACACGCACATGTAATATATGCCACACACATATGGCACTGTCGCATATTGATATGACAGGAGATTGACGCCAAAAATATTCTGTCAAGTACGATTTTAGAAACAACTACATTGTGTACGAGCCAGCGTAACCTTGAAGTACCTTCGACCATTTGTACGATCTAACTTTTTTTTATAAAGTTAAATTGAGTTTTGCAACGTGATGAAAGTTGGCGAGAGGGGAATCCTCTATCGACACTGAAGATATATGCGGATTACTCTTTCGTGCATGTTTTGTAAAATATATCTACTTGTACGGCGGGATGCGATTATATACCTTCGGTACGTATCCGAAAAGGGGCTAATAATTTATCAAACTTTGTGCGCAGAAAATTAAAAACTGAACTGACGGGCAGAAATACGGCGTATCATTAAATATGACGCGTAATATATCTGCTCAGTGAGAAATCGATTTTGTTGCATTAACTTATACGCCGCTGTTGCACCAAATGGCGAAAATCCATTGAAACATATATCGATTATGCTCTAGGATTTAAAGCTTACCTCAGATCCACCCCCGCCTTATTTTAAGACTTGAGTAATAACAAATTGACCAACCGCAGTTCATTGACCGTAAAAAGAATAAGCAATTGCAGTTGGTTAATTTACTTACTGCTTGCCTCTTCAGGCTAGGTTGTAGATCCAGCTTTAGAGAAATGAGAGATAAGAAAACATTCAACGTCAAGAAGCGTAAGATAAAATTAGTAGAGAAATCATTTATACTCCACGATAAAAGTAATATATAACGAGTATATATTAAACCACGGGAGAGGAGGAAGAAATATATATAAGGGTAAATTAAATTTTTAAACACAAGAGGGAGAGAGGGAGGGAGGGAGAGAGAGAGAGAGAGAGAGAGAGAGAGAGAGAGAGAGAGAGTGAGAGAGAGAGAGAAAAAAAGGAGAAAAGAGGTGAACAGATAAATTTTTAATTCTCAAACGATTCTGAAACAAGAAATAGGTGCATATTAAAATCCGAAATAGGGTGGGATTTAATATGACGTAGTATAATGTAATATAATACAGGGATTTGATATAATACAGGGGCAAAACATAAATCCATTGCAAAACTGAGGGCAACGGTGACGTATATAAAGAGAGAGAGACAGGGAGGGAGAGGGAGAGGGAGGGAGAGAGAGAGAGAGAGAGAGAGAGAGAGAGAGAGAGAGAGAGAGAGAGAGAAATTGAAAGAAGGAGAGAGGGGAACAGTCGAGGGAATAAATTAAATTCTAGAAAGTGAGAAATGTGGGAGTGCATATTAAATTGCAAAAACGAAAGGAACGGGAAAAACGGCCGACTTTCTCTAAATACAAACGGGAGAATTTTTCTGGATTTATCGTCTCGTCGAGGAATATCTGGATTTCACCCTCATCCCTGACAGCTACCGCCGGCTGAAGCGATGGAGAGCGTGTCAATTCCAGAGGAGGCAGCCCTCTCGAACGCCAGGTCTCCGTTGGATTGATGAGGTCGTCGTGGATTACGCAGAAGCTGCATCAGCGCTAAAAGCTAATGGACCGGCATCCTTTGAAGATATTGCCATCGAGTACGAGACAGCGCTTAACCACTCGAGAGGGTCTCTACTACCCCCTTCGTCGTTATGAACATTAACACGGGGGGTCTATATAGAGAATAAAAGAGAGAAGGTGTCGGGAGCAAGAGAGAAAGAGACAGAGAGAGAGAGAGAGAGAGAGAGAGAGAGAGAGAGAGAGGGGGGGGGGAGAGGAGTTGGTAAAAAGATTAACGACTAGACCGGGAACATATGGAGGAAGCCTCGATTAAAAGCTGCTACTGTCACCATCACCACTACCCTCACGCGCTTATAAATTTGCACCAAGCGCGAAATCCTCCCGGCCGAGAAGGGCTTATAATTAAGGTTAAGTGCCACCCTCGATGTCGCCACGCTGGCTATTGACGTGCGACATCGCTCACGTTCGGTGTTAAAAGATATATTAAAATGTTACATCAATTGAAAGTAGACCCACCCACATGACTTCAACAAAAGAAATGTCCTTATAAGATATTTTATTCGTAACACAACAATATATAACAATATAGAAACGTTAAAATGATATATTATTTTTTACTCAAGTTTTTATTTTCTACAAAAGCAATGATATCTAATGCAAGTATAGTTTTATTAGCCAATTATCATCGTATATTTTTCTAAATTATGCAAAGTACTTCTTTGGCTAAAAAATGGTCTAATTAAAAACAATTGACGAGAATTCAATCCCCTCTTTTTAAATTAAAAATTTATTTCAACATTTTTGTATTCTTCCTGTTTTTCCTTATTTTTCCTAACTTTCTCTGAGACTCTATATTATGTACTTTAACGCTTTCATTTCTCTTGTAAAATTTAAAATAATGCGAGAAAATGACACGTTGAGAAAAATAGAAATTATCATCTACTTTAATTTAAAATATTAATTGCTTTTGTTCTCGTACCGACAGGTGACTTAAAGTCCTTTCTTCTTCCATAAGAAATAATAGAAGAAAAATATATAATATTTAATTAACGCAATTCCCCAATATCGTATATCTGATTATAACGAGGTGAACAATGCGTAGCACATTTCTATTAATTCCATTTAATAGAAATATTTCTTGCAGGAGAGGGGGATAGTAGACGTATTTTTTTCCGCGCAAACTGAGATTGCGGTGTAAAGTTCTTTGTATTCTCTGATATACAGTTTCCACATATTATTTATGAAAATTGGTGCTTTTTTAATTCTTGGAATTCTCTAAACTTCTTGGCATCTTTTAAAACTCAATGTGGGGCTGAGAACATTTCAGGAATTTTCCCAAAATCGTAAAATTGTATAATATTACGCAAATGTCAAATATGCCGTCCAAGAATAAATTACATAGTTGAAAACTTAATTTCTCCTATACCCGTGTAATGTTATATTTACATTTTGCTCTTGTAAGCAAATTTTATGCGAAATTATTCTAGAAGCATATTTTCCCTGCGGAAACACGTTTATTTTAACACTTGAGACTGCTGCGTAAATTGGTTTTGTTTAAATCATTTTATTAGATATTGTTTATTCGGGCGTTTTATTTATTTTATTAAATATGTTTTCACGGTGATCTAAAATTGATTTAGTAACGGTCATATAATCTATGTTAAATTAAGTTTTAATAATACATGTAAATTGATCTTCATTATTTTAGTTTATTACGATAATATAATATGGCATATGCCGTAAAAAATTGAGGAAGGTCGTAATTGTACAAAATTTGTATTTTTCGTTAAATTCAATTAAAAAAATGTGCTTTTCCGATACATTTCGTTATGCGTGGGAACTTTGGAAAATATAGCGCGTTTTTGGTCGAAAAAGAAGACGTACTTTGTTTGTGCGCAAGTCGGAAAAGGTACAAATACTTGGCTACATTGATCGGTTTGGACAAATTGATTATTTAACTCAGCCCGTGCGCTTCCCGCTGCCCTTCTTTGCTTACCCTCCTTCATCCCTGCACGTATTGTTCACCTCCCTTACTTCTGAAGCCTTTGCGCTGGCAAAGCGACATTTTGCTCCACCACCTGGTTTAGCCCGTTCTTTGCGTCTTGTGTCCCTGTTCCTTGCACAACCAAGCACAACCCGTCTACCTTCCAAATCCCCCGAGTCTATTTTCGTCCTTTCGTCAGTCCGTTACGTCAAGTAGAAACAAAGCTAAACACACATTGTAAACAAGTGAGGGGCTAAGATTTCCAATGAATAAGAAAGGGAAGTAGTGGGAAAGGTTGGACAAATTATAACAGCATACGCGCGCGCCATCCAAACGAGAGACTTCCGGAGCCTTAAAAAATGTCTTCTCGCGAGCGAGAGCAAACTGCCACTAGCGCTCGATTATTCGCTTCGTATTTCATCGTCGCAGGAATAATTGACAATGGACGAATGGCGACGTTATCACACATTAATATACTAATTGGCAAATACATCAAATATGATC